TTTTGGTGTGGAATTAGACTGCTGTATTACCGTGGGTCTTGAGCCATTTTATACATGCATCCGGAAGTTGATTTCAGCTCATTGTTCATTATGTAGCTTCACTGAGCAAATTGAGGGCTTAACACATGGGATGCACAATCGACAAGCTTCCAGGTACAATGGATACGGTTCAACTGAGTAGACTAAGAACAAAGGCGCAGGTTACACCGGTAGCCCTTACACAGCCGCTAGAGTCAAAAACCACACTGTTCAAAGAAAAAGCCTTTTTTTGATTCAATGCTTTGGCGAACAGTTACTGTGAGGGCCCCCATTGTCTTGGATTGTATTCACTTGGCTATAGACCAAAGCCTCAATGTATAATTGTTACCGTAATCATTACTGGGTTCGTTTGTCTGGCCTTCGTTCGGTTTTGCGAATTGATCTGCCAGCAAAGCATTGCGAAAATAGTGACAGCTAATAGAGTAACTGCGTTATCGTACAAATAATGCTCTTTCTCATGCCGTCTATCATCAGCGACTGATCGTTCTATGACCTTGCCACTTTAAATCTTCAAGAATGGGCAAAAGAAACCACACATTATGAGTTCCATGGTAAATATAGAGCCAGCTTGCGAAAATATTGAGCAGAATGCGATAAAGAAATGCCAAAGCAGCTTGGAAGTGGCTATGGCAATGATGATGGACTGAAGCGACACGTCATTCCCTATGTGTATCTGTTTCTTTGTGAAGACCAGGATTTTGTGGGTTGATGAAAAGATCTTAACGAAAATTGGGTCTAAGGGCAGTCTAGGCATCGAGATCGAACATTGTCCTCATGAATAGCTCGTGGTTCATGCCTTACATATTCTTTTCTATTCTAAACTACACTCCTACTATCATTCATGAAGGTTGTCATCTCGACCAGCTCAGCCGTGCTCGACGAAGCTTCTTGTTGCGCCTGAATTGGCTTCCCCTTGTAAATTGTACTCTCCGTATGACGGGAGGAATTTGGAGTTCTACCCTGCTGCCTGGGTGCCGACGATCCTTGGTGGGGATTTCTAGGACCTGATTCAATAGAACTTCCAAGTCTCGGGAATGCCTTGAGGATAAGCATTCGGAGGTCTGGAAGGCAGACACACCAGAGACCAACGTTGATCTCAATAACGGACCAGTAACAGGTCTCGAAACTGTCCCCTACAGTATGTCAGATGTGCCTGGGGAGAAGTAGGTTGATGAACTTACAGGTTGGATTCTGAGAGTTTCCGAAAGCAACCAAGTACCGCAGACGAAGAATACTGACGATGGTGACACTACTCCCGTTAGTCGTTGGAAACAACAATACAATCGAGCAACTTACAAAGTTCCGACCGTAAACATGATAGCTACAGCGAGCTTCCTTTGCCACTTCATCTGCAATTGCACCAGCTGCCAGATGGGAATGGCCAACATCCAAACGTCCAGGATGATACCGACGGCGGCGATGGCCCAAGCTAATGGCTGAACTCCAAGACAGTGTCCCTCGTGTAACTTATCCCATCCTGTCCAGTAGAAGCTGATCGGCTGACATTGTGCAATAGCAAGGATGTCAAAGATGATCATGCCTAGGACCGAAAAAACGATGGTACCCCATATAAGACGTTGGACGGATACGACGGGGAAGATTCGGAGATAGAAGAGGGCGACGCAAATTTTGGTTAGGAAGACATCGGAAGCGTAGAGGGTTTGTCCAACGTAGAGGTACTAAAACTGTTAGAGATGCCTTTGAATGGAGATGGGGATCATACGCAGAGATAGCTGTTGATTGTATCTGGGCTGAAGAGCCATGCATCTCTCCCGAGACCATTGCCCGAAACTATCAGCAGTCAGTATTGATTCCACCAGTTGCGAGGTTGGCTTACGGCCATGAACACAAACAATCGTGTTTCCCAAATCAAGTAGCTATCAGAATTAGCAGAGCACTCTTTTGATGTGGAGTACGACTCACAAAGACCGCCACGACGATATAATCATCCAGTCTGAACTTCCTCTCGTATCGCACCTTGTGCCAAAGCCGAAGACCAACCACAATCGCCGTGATTGCAATCAATGTTATGGCCAAAATATCGAATTGTGCGTGTCTGTCTCGCACTGGAAAATCACACGCAACTGAGGTGACATTCAGCGTTGCTGCTATTGTTAGCATTTACCCAACACCTAATCCACGACACGTACCTAATGCGTCTCTCGGGAGGCATTTCTTTTGAACACAGCTCAAAACCTGCGTCTTGAGTTTCGGGTCGGCGCAAAGACATTGTACGTCAATGCCACAAGTCGACGTTGATACAAGCTCGACGAGACAGCTCCCCTAACCAAAGTCAGCATTTTGCGGCTCAGATAAGGGAGTAACGTACAGCGCAGTCTGGTATTTTTGTCAAAAAGTCCGAGACATCGTCACAGAACACTTGGCATACGAGACACGCCCACGTCACCAGCAATACCAGCAGATGCATGCTTCAGTTGATATGCAGCATGGTGGGAAGAGAGACAGCTGTGATATCGACAGGGGAGGGGAATACGAGGGAGTTTGAGCAGTCATTTAATTGTTGATCTCCCACTAGTCTCACGTGGCAAGTCTAGCTTGGCTGGAGAGATTGGTGATGCGAATCCTTAGCTGACCCCATAGAGTTTGAGAACGCGTCTCCAGTATATTTGCACCGGAGTCATGTAGAAGGAGGGGAGAGAAAGGGACTAACTGTACAGCTGCAAGATTATGTGTTGAGATGATATGCGTTTTCTTTCAGATACTGTGGAGGATCGACGGATCAGCACAAGCATGGGCTGACGAGTGATTCGCGGCGATAAATGAATTGCTAATTTGAGTAAAGGCGTCTCGGCAGTTATGGATCCTCAAAACCTAGACAGAATACTCACAGCTCACACAAGCGAAGGATTTCTGTCGCCCGTTCCAAGCTATGCGGCCACTAAAGAGCCGCGATCCACTTAGCAAGGCTTATTGTCAAAGCGGGATGGGGTGAAATCATGCGTCCGAGTCAGTGACGCCAAGTTCGCCGAATTGTTGGGACGTGCTGCTATTGCCGTACTGCCGGACTTGCTGATAATCACAACTCCTTGGCGATGCGAGCAATGAGCTTTCGTGATGCAGGCGCGTTGAAGTTTCACAGCAGGCTGTTGCTGGCGGCTCTGAGATACAGCAGCAGAAGAATTGCATTCCAGGTGGGAGCACGAGCCAGGCTAGAGTGCAGCTAGCCAGCGGCAAATGAAGTCATTGATTGAGTTTGGCATTAAATCCTACTGCTAGTTACTTAGCAGGCACTTATTTTTTCGGCACTTCACTACAGCGCCAGAAATTCAAATTTATTTGTCAAAGGGCCCAAGAGGGTAAGAAAAAGAGTCTCTTGGCACAGCCGGTCTAAATAAGCTTGCGGGAACGGGTCCGCGCTACCAAAGGGAACGTAAAGTGCAGCTCGCAACAGTCTCGGAAGTATTTGTCACTGTCTTGCCTGTAGCATTATAAGCTACTGGCTTTGTGCCAGTAGCTTGATGAATGCTATCACTGCGCACTCTGGACAACGGGTACTTGCCCCTCACTGCGCAAAGACATTAACAGCGGACTCGTTCAAATAAAGAACCCTGTTCACTCAAAGTATTCACTATTAATTTTGAAGCAATACGGAACATAGAATTTAATAGACCGATCAAAACAGGCTACCACTGCTTACGCGAGTTTGATAGTTCTCTCAAGGCAAGATTGAGAAGACATAACCCGAGGGCTCCATTTCCCTGTACTTATTGGAAAGCCATAAGCGTAATATGAACTACTGGAAAGACCAGGCACAAGATCTTCTCACTACATGAATCTGCCTCGTTCCCTAGCCTCCTCGGCCCTTCGCGCCATCTCCTTTCTCCTGCTTCTGCAACGAAGACATTCCATCGGAACGAAACAACGACCACTACGAATACCAACCGTGCAATGTCTCCAGCCGTTGAATTGTATACCTTCTGCGCAAGGATCCCATTCATGAAAACTTCCCATATTCCTTCCGCAATAGCAAAGCTTCTCGTAATATATTACAGTACACATCTTGAGTGGCTTGGTTTGAGTGTACTGTAGTATGGGACCCCAGTATCTTTAATCTTTCACGGTGTCTTGTATCGTGGTAGTCTTAGTGGAGGTGTTGAAGATACTTGAGAAGGCGAAAGAGGTCTGCGTTATATATACTGCATTCTCCAAGCAGTGATGAAGTTCGACGCCGACATATGAATAACTATGTGGAGGATAAATCTTTCCTAATAACATCTTAGATGAAGTGTGGATCTCTGGTATTTGTCGAGCCCAGGCCGCTTCTTTGCAGCCAGCATTGGCGGCTCAAAGCCCATAATCACCACACATAACTTCTAGAACAGTCTGCGACAGACTTCACTGCCAATCATGAAGACATGATTAGAAGAGATTCGAATACAATGGGACGAAGTGCGATCAACATTCGAGTAATCTCTGCATTAGAGGATCAAAATTTATGCCCGTACTGATGCTGGAACGGACTGCAGAATATTCTCCCTGCGATTACTATTCGGATGAAACAATGAGTCTAGCGTAAAGATAGAAAAATATGTAGAATACGTGAAGAAAGAGATCGAGAAGACAGCAGAAATAGGTAGACTGGCCGTGATACTGAATCACCATCATCAACACCCTACGGAAACATATTCAGATGCTCAAGGTGACACGAAAATATCTGTCAGGACATCACTTACCTTCATCCGACGAACACATGCCCTGTAGGTATTGACAAACCCCCTGAGCGCGCCATGCGAAGTCATAGAGCTGAAAAAAGGAGAGTTCACCAAGCCTGAACATTTATTGTTCACGAGATGCTGTGATCAGCTACTCTGGTAAGCATAGAGCTGTCATTTATTATAACATGCTTGGCTTATTCGCTGTCTGTACCGAATTATCAATCACCCTCCATCACTGTATGCCACTGGTTTCTCTTCTATCTACATAGAACTCAATCACTGCCGGACGATGCAATTTCAAGATGAGTTTCTACCGAACGACCAGTAATTACGGTGCAACTACAAGATCTAGTAGTATGAATGAAGCAATTGTGAACATCTCAGATTCAGAATCAACGACAAGCACGGGTTCTGAGGATACTGGGAGCTTAGGTGAGGAACCAGAGACTAAGGAACAGTTGACGTATTGGAAACTTTCATCTATCGGCAAAGGAGATGCCTACTCCCCAAAAGCCATTGGAATTACATCCTACGGTATCGTTCGATCTATTCACTCAGTATGGTTCACCGTGGAGTGGAATGACGGGGCGGAATCATGGGAACACGAAGCTTCGCTACAGGGCTATCAACCAGAGCTGGTCTATGCTTACTGGGATGCACAGAACGGAGGACGCGAGGGGACCACCAAATTCGATTTGTTCTATGTCTTTAAGATCCTCGAACACAGAACCATTATAGATTCTAGCAGGAGACGCGCTAAAAGGCTTTGCTACAAGGTCCAGTGGGTTGGATTCGATGTGAAGGATCACAGCTGGGAGCTGGCAGCGAAGGCTGCTCTTCTTGTTCCCTGGATGAAGAAAGAGTACGATAAGATGCATGGGCTGTGAACTCTGAGAGATAGTACAACACAAGAGAATGTATCATCAGGGTAGAATGGATAATATATGTGACGTCTGAACGGAGAGGTAGGAGGTTTGATTTCTTAGACACATCAAGAACACCGAAGTTCTCGTTTAGTGGAACGTAAGTGATACGAGGGAAACAGTTTAGCTGCAGCGTGTTATAATCCATTCTTTAAACATAAAATCTGCTGAACCAAAGCTCTGATTTGCGCAGTAACACTAGAAGTGAAGCTTAAGTGGTCAAGTAGACACCTCAAAACAAGGATTTCTAGAATTCCTCCTGGCCTATTTATTCGTGGAGGTACTTGACCTCTTTCCCAGGGTTTGGCTGCTGAACCAGCCCAAGCTGCTGGAGAGCCGTCAGAGCTCCCTCTTCCCCAGTCTCATCCACAATCAGCCCATCCTTGAGTGTGAAGATAGTCGTTCCAGAGAAGTACATTTTCTTGCCCGTATTCGCCTTCTCCAAAGCGCCGACTGCAAGATCATGGAAGGCAACTCCCGCATGAGTGCCGCCTCCGATCCAGCGACCGACTACATATGGCCCGCTTGCGATCAGGGGGTGCTGGTAGGCATGAAACGAGATGTCTGGAAAGGCCTGTTGATTGGGGTTAGCTACTAAGTTGAGAGTTTTGCATGGGTCTTCTTGCCTCCTTGAATTCTGACAGCATCTTCTTGGCATTCTCCTTTCCATATCGTGGGCCATGCATCGGGTAGTTGATAACGAAGTTATCAGCGCAGAGCTTGTTGACGATCTCGGGGTTGCCTTTGCCCCAGTACTCGGTGAAGTACTCCTGGATAACCTCTAGGTTCTTTGTCTCCTCTTGAGTCGGCATTGTGATGCTGTTGATGCTGGCAGGTAAGAGTGTTGCTGTTGTATTGGTATGATGAATGATTTAGAATTCTGTTCTTGCTGTCGAGAAAGAGGCCATGGTTCTTATAGTGATATGGTTAAGCAGCATGTGAGAGGGAAGCCCACTTTGTTACCAGGCGAACTTTTGCAATTCCTCGTCCTTACCAAACCCAACGATTTCAATGGTGATTGACTGATTCAGAAGCAACATAACCTCTTCGCAACCTTGATGCATGGATTCGGAGCCAGCGAAGGCATGGGTCTATGGAGTCGCCAGATCACGATGAGCAATGTTGCTGCAAAGTAATTGGTGAATTCCAAAGCAACGTATAGGAGTTTTCCGTGAGGAGAAATGGAGAGCTTCTATGACTGGGTAATTTGAAAGCAACAATCCACCAACAGCGCGTCACCGAAAAATGGTCAAAGAAGCCTCCACCATGATTGGTCACATCGAGAGCAAAGATTCACATTTGACATCTCTGGCACTGTAATTCTCCGAGAAACAGATGCCGTCTCGAGCAGCAAGTCTAGGGCCGCCCGGGAGGATCTGAAACTAATGGGAAATTTGAGTCGTTATAAGTCTTCCTAGCCTGTAAAGCCTCAGTACCAGGCGTATTTCCCTTATAAATAGCCACCTAGCGTAGGAATGACCAATCCAACTCAAGTCTTTTGCAAACCTCAACAACATCATTTCTGATACGTACCAGTCACCCAATCATGTCATCGATCACTGTATATCGTGGAACCCCAAGCGGGAGAGTGCAGCAAGCTACAGTCCCAAGGCCTGGTCCTCCAAAAGCACATCAAGTCACGGTTCGCATCACTCATTCTGGCCTTTGTGGTACCGACGAGCACTACAAATGCCAGGACATGGTTCTCGGTCACGAGGGAGTTGGCATCGTGGAGTCAATCGGCAGTTCTGTCGTAACCTTAAAAGTGTGAGTAACCAGAGCGCAACCTAACCCTTAATGCCTGTCTCCAGCTAACAAGTCCCTCGATA